TTGTCATCACAGGAGGGGCAACCCAAAAGCAGTTTTATTATTTATTTATTTATTTATTTTCTGATTTAAAAAGTAATAATCGAAATCTTTAATATTTTCTTCCCACTGGGCATTCACCATGAGACTAATCAAAATTGATACTACTCTATAATCTAATAGAATAGTCAAAATTTTGACTATTGTTTTTTTCTAAGGAAATTTTGAAGGGTGGACTCGTAAATTCGATCTATTACGAATTGTTACATTTATAGATCGATGATGGATTCAAAAAATTTGAAACTACATTTATATATATACATATATATATCAAAAAATGTATTACTTAATGATCATTTAATAGATTCTAAGAATTTGAATATGTAATAATAGATTCGGCTATTAAAATCCTACTGATATGTGAGTCCAATTTGTGAGATTTATATATATATATATATATATTCAGAGAATATATTAATTAACGATCATTTAATAGATTCTGAGAATGTATTAGTTAATTTTATCACTTTACACACCTATTCCTTTTTCCACTTCACTTGCTCACAAATGGGTTGTGAAGCAATTGGAAATGTTAGGAGAGAAAAGTTGAACCCACAACAAAAACAAAATGAAACCAACTCTCATGATTAGAAGCAGATATTGGATGAGTCTTGCACTCCATGTTATTGGTGGGTATACTCAATATAATGCATCATTTCAAAAAAAAAAAAAAAAAAGTTAACCCAACTACTTATAAAATTGCTAATAACAAAAGAAATATATTATATACCATTGATATATTAGGCTGCGTTTAGTAACGAAAAATATTTCTTATTTTCTGTTGTCAACCTTTAAATAGGCAAAACGAAAATAAAAATCGTGTTCAATAAAATGTTTTTGTTTTTGTATAACAAAAAACGTTTTCAATTTTTGTGAAGAAAAGAGAAAACATCAAAATTATATTTCTTATATTTTCGGCACTGTAATAGAGAAACGTTTTCACTAATGTTATTATATAAGCACTATTCATTTCAAATAAAATTCATATTATTTGTGTTATATACTAAATTGCAAATTAAATGTTAATAAAAATATATATTTTTAATATAGAATAAATTAACTATTGTATATTATTTTTTATTTGATAAAAATATATTTTAATATATAATATATTAAATAATAATGTAAATTATTTTTTCTGACAAAATAATTTTTGATATAAAATATAATTAAATGATTAAGCAGTAGATATTTTATATTATTATATACCATATCTATATTATATTATATGTAAATATTAAATTATAATTAATTTACAAAATGATAACACAATATATATTTTATTACATATAAGATATATTATTTAATATTTTTTATTCATAATAAATTATCATATGCTAAATATATTATATATCACATAATAAATGTATACATCATGCATATACATGTATTTATATACATAATTGGTGGGAATATTTTTGTCTAATTTTGTACTTATGATATATTGGGTATTTTTAAGATTTATAATTTTAAATTAGATTTATGACTTTTTGATATTAATGGAAATAAGTATTGTGCCTGAGTGATTGGGTTACTCCCTATGTCCGAAAGTTCGTATTTAAGTCATCTACCTTTCCCTCTAATCACTAACTCCTAAAATTCTTGTCATGAAAAAAATAAAAAATTTAAAGAATATTATGTGTATTTAGTAGCAAATATGTTGTATTACTAAATACAATTATTGTTTTATGTTTTTAAATTTGTGGCAATAATAAGTATTAATAAACATTATTTCTATTTTTTATTTTCACTCAAAAAAAATAAAATTATATTTCTACTTTCTTAATATTACAAATACAAAACAAAAAATAAAAATGTTACTAAACGAAATCTTAATAACATGACATGGCTTCCACCGCGCCCAATATCAATTTCATGACTAGGATGAAAGTAAAAATAAATAAATAAATTTTTTGGTTCTCCCGTAGACAATTTATTAAAAATGGTCAAAATTAATGTCCTGCTGTGACTTCGGGAGCGTAGACTTCCACCTTCCCCAAAAACTCCTCGGATTTATTATCTCCATCAAGCATAAATCACACGTACACAATTTCTTTTGGCAAGGCCATCATCATTCATCAAGTGCACGTCATGCCACTCCATCACAAGTTCTTCTGTGTGAATTAACATATACTATTATTAAATTATACACGGATCGATCACATCATCAGGTTGCTCTCGATAAAATAGTCCTATAATAGGAAAATCATCTTGAAATACTTTTTTTTTATTTTAAATTGGTAAAGATAAAACTTCAAGACAAAAGCGCAAATCTCATAAATGTTGTAATGAGTTTAATCTCATTGTAGCTTTTGTCTTTTGCTTTTACAAAGTTTAGGAGTTTTCCGCCATCTAATTTAGTGATGGGAAGTGTGACCCCCTCATAATTTTGTACACTTTATTTAAATTTTTTGAATTTTAAAAAAGATATTTTTAGTATTTTTACACTTTTTATCTAACTTTTTTAGAATAATAAGAGGCTCTAGTTATTTATTTTGAAGTTTATAATTTTATTTTGCTCATTATCGTAATAAAATTGCAACAACTCTTTGGATACATACTTGATTTTGGGTGAATTACGTTAATATGTATTTTTGGTTGCTTTTTGTTAATTTTCACAGCGTTTAGTACCTTTCAAGCACAAGAGGTAGTGTTTCTATCAGAGATGTTACGACTGGGGGATTGTAGGAGGGGCCAAATAGTCGAATCCCCTAAAAGAATTGTTTACATTCAGAAAAATCAAAACTTAAACCTATTCCGTTTGTTTATACATAAAATATTGTTTTTGAAAAATATTTTTTTTTTAGGTAAAATATTCTTTTATTTTTACTTGATGATGTTTAACAAAAATCTTCGTCGAGGTTGAGGTTTTATTTTTACTTTATGATGTTTAACAAAAATCTACGTCGAGATTGAGGTTGAATTTATCGAACAGGACATCTAAAGTAACTTGTCAAAAATTTATGGATAAATTATTTTTATTAAATATTAATATATTTTTTTTTTCGTAAATATTTTACAACAACTAAACACCAGAAAGTAAAAAATATTTTCTGAAAAATATTTTACGGCCAAACAAACGGAGTCCTAATGTTTTATGAGGCACCAGAGTTAAGTGATTTATTATTATAGGTAAAATTTATCACATATCAAATTCAGATGAGAAGTGAAATAGGTACAGGTATACAGGTTACCTCTCAATTCACATTAACTAGATTTTAGAGTTTTTGGTATTAACTCTCCGATGAAACCATCTATCTACCTTGTTTAATGCGCATTCATAGTTTGATGTATGATGGTCAAATTGCAGCGTCGGAAGACCGCTGCTCAAGTTGAGACCAACCACTCGGTGGAGAAGGTGGTGTTGTGATTAAATGCAGTCAGACTGCAAAAGTTATGACCACATTTTATAGTACGAACTACTGGTCTATCAACAGTTTCTATGAATAGATTATTCAAACCTCAAGGTCTTACCAACTTTTTTTGATACTTAAATACAATTAAAATTCATCTTTATTCTATTTGAATGAACCAAGCTTCCAAAAATGTTTGGATGAGATGATTTTTAGATTATACTTCAATTACTTTAATCTTTATCTTTATTTTTTTAAAATTATCTTTTGACAAATATAATGCACACATCTACATGCCCTTCATGTCACTTGATCTTTCAATCTTTCTGATTGAAAGATGAGGCAATTCTATGCTAAAATCTGATTGTATGTCAAATTTTTAGTCAACAATGATTGGGACTACACAACTAACACTTGTGTGAGAGGAAATGGTCAAAGAGCTCAATTGGTTTACAATATAAATAATACTAATTAATAAGCTAAGCTAAAGTCATTTTGAAAGGATACGGAAGTGACTTGTGTAAGTGGTCAAGATATTTCCAGAAGATGTCACGGACTCATCAATCAAGGCAGCTCTGATATCTCTATTTTTGGGACAGCTCAAATCTAAATACTTATCTCAAGTCAACTAAGTGAGTAGAAAATATCTCTCTCTTTTTGGGACAGAGTAATGCTCCGGCGGCGGTCTGATGAAGGATTGGGGAAGATCCCGGTCCAGGGCAAGTCTTCGAGCCATGCCTTGAGTCCTTCACTTTCAATGAGACAAGCCTTTGCTTTACCATGTCCACAGTCATACCCTCTCCCGGGCCTAGCCAATTAAGACTAAGAGGAAGCAGTGTCACCCGCCCTTACTCTAACCCATTATGCATAAATACATATTTTTGTTATAAATATATACTTATATGATAATTTTAAATAACACCCTTTTTAAAATTTTTTAATTCATCTAATTTCTTTTTGAAAACAAAAAAAAAAAAAAAAAAAAAGTTACATATATTTCAGTTCTTCAACTACACCATATATTTTTTATTTTCTAATTTTTGTTTTATTATTATTATTTTTTTCACTTATATATAAATGATGTATTGTACCATTTTTCCTCTTTTTTTCTTTTTATCGATGACATTTGTGATTGTATTTAATTAAAATATTATTAATCAATATTTTGATTCTTATATTTGTCAAGTATATTTTTTTTACAATAATTATTTAGTATATTATGTTACAACTAGTATTTTTTTTTCCTGTTTGCCTTTTGATTTAAAAATTTATATTTATCATACTTGTTGATTATTATTTTTTAATAAGTGCATTGTGTTTCCTGAAATAAAATCTTGGCTCCGCCCCTGTCTACTCCGCTCCATCAACGACTAGTTGTTGAACGTCTTTGACTTTACGATTCCTTCGTCTAAACATTATTAATTCCAAACTTATTTCTAAATCCTTGTAGAGGGTTTTTAGAAGAACACAAACACCAACATTCTCCAAATATTTTGTCTATTTTGAATTTGTATTTGATGATCAAATCAATCTTTGAATTTTTACTCATATCGTATAAATCTTTGCATCATTTGTGTGATGTGTATGTTTTGCTCTTGTCGTAACATAAGTTTGTTTGAAATTTTAAAAATATATATCAAGACGTAAACAGTGAGAATTCATTGTTCAATTGCTGACGTTATTATACCATAAAGTCTATTTTGTTGAATCAATGTATCATTGCTTATCTACCACCAATTTCATTGGCAAACAGAGGGCCAATGAGTCCAAATTGGAGAAGCCATTAGTCAAACACGAATTCATCAACTCTGACCTTTCCACCCTTGCACAAACAAACATATCCAAGAAACCAAATTGTGTACCAATCTTTTATAATGGCGAAACCAAGAGAGAAGAACTTCAACATCTTCTTCAAATGATGGTTCGCAATCTGTTTTTTGCATTCTCTTACATACTCACATCCCTAACCTTACTCACCTCGTCTGCAACAAACACCTTAACACCAACCCAAAACCTCACAGACAATCAAACCTTAATTTCCTTCAACAAAATCTTTGAACTCGGCTTCTTCAGTCCAGGCAATTCAAGCCACCGTTACTTGGCCATATCGTACCACAACCTCCCTCGCACGGTGGTTTGGGTGGCCAACAAAGCCAACCCAATTTCAGACTCATCTGGGGTATTAACTCTGACCATAAATGGTAGTCTGGTTCTTTACAATGAGTCTAGAGACATAGTCTGGTTCACCAATATAAATGTCACATCAAAAAAACCCATATTGGAATTGTTGGATTCTGGCAATCTTGTGGTCAGAGATGAAGACAATTCTGGTGTGGGTTCTGTTTGGGAGAGCTTCGATCACATTTCTGATACCTTATTGCCAGGTATGAAACTGGGTTGGAATTTGAAATTGGGTTTGAACAGGGTTTTGAGGTCTTGGAAGACTGATATTGATCCATCAGATGGTGAGTTCACATTCAGCTTAGACCCTCCTGAGGCACCCAGGTTGGTTCTGAGAAGGGGGTCTGAGCTGCAATACAGATGGGGTCCATGGGATGGTGTTAGATTTAGTGGCAGCCCTGAATTGAGGCCCAATGCTGTGTTCACGCCCCTTTTCACTTCCAATTCTGAAGAGGTTTATTACAAATTTGAATTGACAAACAGTTCCGTTTTATCTAGGTTTCAGGTGACACCATTGGGTTTGATTCAGTATTTCACATGGAGTGGTGATAATAATCAATGGTCTATGATGGTTACTCTTAATAGAGACTATTGTGATAGGTATGGGATGTGTGGGCCTTATGGGAATTGCTATGCTGCGGATCCAAATTGCAGGTGTTTGAAGGGGTTCACACCGAAATCGCCTCAGGCGTGGAGTCAGGTTGTTTGGACTGATGGTTGTGTGAGGCGGCATGAGTTGAATTGCGGCAATGGAGATGGGTTCGTGAAGTATACCGGATTGAAGTTGCCGGATAATATCACTGTGTGGGGGGAATATAACCAAGAGGAATGCAGGGTGGAGTGTTTAAAGACGTGTGGTTGTATGGCTTATACCAACATTGATGTTCATGGAAATGGGAGTTCATGTGGGGTGTGGTTGAACCAATTGATTGATATGCGAGAATTTGGCGATGAAGGAGAGGAGATTTACATGCGAATGGCACGCGCAGAACTAGGTAATGTGTTTTGTGGGTGGTATTCATTTCAATAACGTCATGCATTTCTTCAATTTAGAAACTAGGTAATGTGTTTGTGTGTGGTATTCATTTCAATAATGTCCTGCATTTTCTTCAATTGAGAGGTGTTAATTTTGTTTTGTACGTGAGTTTCTGGTTGATTGTGTGGTATACTTGTTTAAATTGCTAGGTTTCGTTTTCGGTGTTCAGACTCTCATTTAGATAATATATGTGTGTGTGTGGTATTCATTTCAATAATGTCATGCATGTCTTCAATTTAGAGGTGTTAATTTTGGTTTGTATGTGAATCTCTGGTTGATTATGTGGTTTATTTGTTTAAATTGCTAGATTTCGTTTTCAGTGTTCAGACTCTTATTAAGATATGAGATTATATATGTGTATTCATTTCAATAATGTCATGCATGTCTTCAATTTGGAGGTCTTAATTTTGGTTTGTATGCTAATTTAGTAATTAGTTTGTTGAAAGAACATGAGAAAGTAACTTATTTCTGCTATAACTTTGTTGGGTGGCCAGAATCAATTGCTGCAGCTAAGAGGAGAAGGAAAGTGGTGACGATCAGCGTTGTCTTGGTATCAACAGTTTCTGGAATCATTCTATCTGGTGTTGTTGGCTGGTACATATGTCGATTGAAAAAAGCAAGAAAGAAAGGTAATACAACTTTATAGTTCTATTGTCAATTCCTTTAAGTTGTATGATCCTATAGCAGTCTTATGAATGAATTCCAAGTTATTTTTTGATGTGGAATTCTTAATTGAATATTCACTCATTAGTTCCTCTCTCCTATAACTCATGAATTAAGAATTCTCACAAGAAGAAGATCTACTTGACATTTGACATGAATTAGGCGTTAATGAAACTTTTCACATCTTCATCTTTCTCTGCTGCAATTGAGTTGTCAAATAAAGAGGTGGACAATATTTCATGGTAGGCACGGCATAGAAGATTGGGACATTCACATGAACATCATAATTTCTATTATGTCCATGGCATAATAGAAATTTCTGGACCATTTGCAATTCATGGAGAGAATGTCATTCCATTGATACAATCAAGTACACATTTGAAGGAAATTTATTCGGAATCACTTGTTTCTGACAAATTTTGGGTACCTTACTTGATGGAAAGGTTAACCTTCATCACTGTAATTCATCGAATGCTCTTAGCTCTGCTGTAACACTAAAAGAAGGTACAGGGTAATGTCTTTATGTCTTCAACCAGAGGGGCACTGTATTTGTCAAAAGTGTTGGAGTGCTCCAATCACTTTTGACTCTGATAATATTTTCTTGCAAATGCAATTCTACTTAACCAAGTGTCAGAGAGATAACATTTTCTTGCTTAAAGGGTTAGCTTAGTGCACGAGACTCCCGACACTGTAGAGTCAGGGGAGGGTTAGATATACGCAGCCTTACCTCCGCATGAGGAGAGGTTGTTTCCTGTTTTCTTGCTTGTATATCATGAAACAATCAATAGAGGTCACTTTTGTTTAGCATGTGCTGTTTCAGAATCCTTCTTTCTATCATTCTGTCTTCTGTTTATCTTATGGATTTCCCCTTTAACAGTGAAACAGGAAAACAATCCCTACAACGATTATACAGAAGAAAGTCAGGAGGATGACCTTGAATTACCTCTTTTTGACATAAGTACCATTCTTGTTGCTACTGACAAATTCTCTTTCAAAAATAAGATTGGAGAAGGTGGTTTTGGCCCTGTTTACAAGGTAATTCTCCATTATACGAAAGAAATAAAATAAAGAAGAAAGGAATCAAGATGTTTATAGTAATATTGCCTTTCTTTTTTTCAAGATTTGAACTTAACAACTGCTTCAACCCCATCCTTCCTCTTTATAGTTATATTGAAGTATATCTAAACTTTTGTATATTAATATGTAGGGTGAATTGCCTAATGGACAAGAAATTGCAATAAAGAGACTCTCACAAAGTTCCGGGCAAGGCCTCAAAGAATTTAAAAATGAGGTTATCTTGATTGCGAAACTTCAACACCGGAACCTCGTTAAGCTCTTGGGATGCTGCATTCAGGGAGAAGAAAGGATACTAATCTATGAATACATGTCTAATAAAAGCTTGAACTACTTCATATTTGGTTCGTCCATTTATCCTTAAACATAATTACCCAAATGATTGTCTTATCTTGTTTATGAACAAAATCTTGAAAGTATAATAGAGATATTTGAATGAGTAGAATTTTTAATTGGATTTGGCTGCCAGATAAAAATGGAAGAAGACTATTACCTTGGAAGAAACGCTTCAACATTATTCTGGGAATTGCCCGGGGATTACTTTATCTTCATCAAGACTCGAGGTTGAGAATCATCCATAGGGATCTCAAAGCTAGTAACATCTTACTAGACAAGGAGATGGATCCCAAAATTTCTGACTTTGGCATAGCAAGAATTTTTGGAGGAGAGCAGACGGAGGAAAAAACCATGAGAGTAATCGGAACATAGTAAGTGATCTTACATTTATCACGATAAAAACAGTTTCATGGCTGCAAATGTGTTTAAAATGTTGTTTTTTGGCGCGCAGTGGTTACATGTCTCCAGAATATGCAATGAGTGGTCACTTCTCTGTAAAATCAGATGCATTCAGCTTTGGCGTGTTAGTGTTAGAGATTATAAGTGGCCAGAAGAATTGGGGATTTTATCACCCTGACCATGACCAAAACCTTATAGGACATGTAAGTACCGCAACATCTGCACTTTTAAGCTTAGAGCTCTATAATGTATGCTTTCATTTTGATCTATGACTAATGGAAAAACTGATTCGGAATTGTTACAGGCATGGAAACTATGGAATGAAGAAAAACCCATGGAATTAATGGATCCTGTGTTGCAGGAGTCATTTTCAGTAAACGAAGTGGTAAGATGTATCCAAGTGGGGCTTTTGTGTGTGCAGCATCGCGCGGAAGACAGGCCAACGATGTCTTCTGTGGTGTTTATGTTAAGCAATGAAAATGCAGTGCTGCCCCAACCGAAAGAACCGGGATTTTCTGTAGAAAATTCTTCTTTAAATATTGATTCATCAACGAGTGGGCAAGATCCTAGTACTGCCAATGAGATTACTATTACAGCCTTCGATGGACGATAGGAGAGAATCAATGTAGTGAATTATACTCTGTATATTGTACAAGGGTGTGAGAATAATTTTTTTTGTGTGACGGCTGCAATTTTCTGCAAATAGTTCTAAGTAGTCTGGTTCTTCAATCACCCATCAACTGAGGGACTAACATTAGATAATATGTACTGGTTTGTATAGCTTGTTTTCATTTTTAATAGAACATTCAGTTAAATGTGTAGTCATTGTTGAGTGAAATGTATGATATTGTTGATGAGTTCTACACCACCATATATTTCATGGTAAAGGGCGTAAGAGCACCTCCAAAGCAGGCCGGCCATAGCGATTTGGGCTCATTTGGTGACCCAACTGCTCCATTGCGGGTTGCTAAAATTGGGCCAATCGGAGAATGGGTCGACCCTGTTAGAGAGCATGGGCCGGCCATACGGGGCCCGCCTAAATTTTCTTTTCTTTTTTTAATTCTGGCCCAAGTTATTGTTTAGTCCAGATTTTGAATTTTAAGGGTGTAATACCCCTAATTTTAAAAGGATAATCTTAGTATTATTTTTAATGTTTTAATTGTATTTTATTTATTTACTTGATTATTTGGCTATTTGATTACGTGTTTAATTGAGTTTGTTAATTAAATATTTTATTTTTTTAAATGTTTTATTTGACTTAACTGATTAGTTGAAAGTATGTGTTTGAATATTATTTGAATTAGTTGATTTAATTGATGTGTTGTTTATTTGATATTAATTGTAGATTAAATAATTAAATGTTTGTTTTATTTTATTTTAGTTTATGGATTTGGTTAGTAGTAATGGACTAACCAATTGAGTCCCATAGACTACTTGGATAGGAAGTTTAATGGGTATGGATGATTACCGATAGATAGTATATATATATATATATATATATATATATATATATATATATATATATATATATATATAATAAGGGTATACATAGATTATATACGTAATATATTTTTAGTTACCATGGATAGTTTTATATACATAGATATATATATATATATATAAGGAAAATAATTTATTAATTAATATTATTGTAACTTAGTATTAATAATCTGATATATTTTTATATTTGTATAGCAAGGATATACATAAATTATATACGTAACATATTTTTAGTTAGCCATAGATAGTTTTATATATATATAAAAGGAAAGTAATTAATTAATATTTTATTATTGTAAACTAGTATTAATAATCTGATGTATATATTTTTATATTTGTATAATAAGGATATACATCAATTATATACGTAACATATTTTTAGTTACCCATAGATAATTATATATATATATATATATATATATATATATATATATATATATAAAAGGAAAGTAATTAATTAATATTTTATTATTGTAAACTAGTATTAATAATCTGATGTATATATTTTTATATTTTTAGTTACCCATGCATAGTTATATATATATATATATATATATATATATATATATAAAGTAATTACTTAATTAATATTATTGTAACTTAGTATTAATAATCTGATGTATATATTTTATATATTTGTGTAATAAGGATATACATAGATTATGTACGTAATATATTTTTAGTTACCATTTTAATATTTTAATTTTATTATTTTCTTTTACAAAGTTGACCTGGATTGGGAAAAGGATTAGGTTATTTTATTTAGCCTATAAATATATAAATATAGGTTAATAAAAGGGGGTTAGAAATTAAATCACATAGTATATTTTGGATAAAACAGAAGAGAGTTTAGAGAGAGAAAGAAGGAAGAAAAAGAAGGAAATGAGGAAGGAGGTTAGTGTTTTTATAAAAATCCTTAAGGCAAGTTCTTTTATTCTCTTCTCATTTGATTCAGATTATATACATGCTAGATTAGTTTCAAGATTAATTAATTAATTAAATTAATTGAACATATTTGCATGATTAAAAACTGAAATTATAGTGTATATATATGTGTAATGGGTTTGTGTATATGCTTGGTAATTTGGACAAATTGATGCATGATGTGTGTTCACAATATGTTATTAAATCTGTTTAAATGATTTTTAAATTGTTAAATTAGATTTATGGAGGATTTTAAAAATACGATTTAAGTACACATATTAAGTATGAAATTTAATTAATTTAAAAGGTTAAATTAATTAAATATGGTTGGATTAAATTATTTTAATCAATTATTTGGTTTTAAATAAATTTGATCAGATTGTGGAGGAGTAGAATTATTTGAGATGCATGTTAATTTTTATGAGATAAATTCAATGCATGCTACTTAGAATTGTTACATTTTGCTCAATTAAATGCAAAGAAATATCTGTATGATTTATATCATGCTATGTATGGATTTATTTGATATAATATTATAACTATAACATCATTTATGGATTGTATGCATTATATGCACTAGTATGAGATGGTGGCATATTAGGGACGGATTAACTAAAAACGTTAAGTCCTACTTATTCATGTATAACGGAATGGATTAACTAAAATGTTAAATCCTATATATTTTCATGTTAGGTCAACTGAATCAGTTGGATGACATACCGGATATTTATTTTATGTTTGGATAGAACGAATTATATATATAGTTATATGAGCTTGAGTCTCAGGATCATGGTTAGGGTGCGTATATTGCCAGGGATGCGTAGCTAGATATAATGTAGTTGTGTACCCTGATAGGTCTAGGTACTCATGCCCACTATATGTGCGTTTTGTATGTTGCCTACTATTCAGGCAGAGACAACTCTATAGTCTAGTGAGATTCCTTTAGTATGTATCTATATATATACGGATTATGTAGTTATTGTTGGGTTGACTATGATATATATGATCTGTTTGGAATGTAGTAGATTAGAACTTGTTTGTGTGCCTGACCCACCATTATTTTTCAGGTGTTAGTCAGTTCCAGGCTTAGGAATTGTTCGTGCTGAGCAAAGACGATTTATTCACTCCTCCGTCTTAATGTAAGATTTCCTTATTTTTGTTTTAGTCAGATATTATTTTATTTCAGTTGGATTTTGGATTAGGGGTCCACATAATGGATTTCCAAGTTATAATTTTAATTAATTACTGGTATCAGAGGATTTTGTTATTAGAGGTTTATTATTGGATTAATTAATGAGGATTTATTAATTAGTATTCTTTCAGCTTTATTCTTTATTCTTATTTCATTTTGTATTCTGTGTTCATTTAAATAATTTAATTGTTTGATATTATCTCGGGTTTGGGCTTGGCCTGGTCAACCCATGTCTCGGAGTCGAGGGGTATCACAGTTGGTATCAGAGTACTCTAGGTTTAAATGTCTCTAGGGATCTATTGTTATTTGACTTCCGCGTAGCGTATTCTTTCGTGTAGAACCTAAGTTTAGGATTCATTGTATTCCTTTACGGTCCGCCTAAATCATTCTGACGTGTATCTTTCTATGTTAACATAATGGTTAACACTAGAAGAAGACGGGATAATCAGAGAAACGGGCAACGAAGGGGAGCGGCACGTAGACAACATAATCTCCTACGACGTCAGTAAGTTGCAGAAGAGCAACCACTGCCAAGGTTTTGGGAGGAGGATGATCAGTTGCACATCGAGTAGAAGGAAGTACAGCAGACTCAGGAGTCTCAGGATCGTGGCCACACTCAGGGCAGTGACCCAGAGTATTCGCCTTAGTTAGTTTACATCATTGCTCAGGTTGTAACAGTAGGCGTAATAACTGCACTTCGGAATCAACCGCACATTCAACAGACACTAGTAGCAGTACCAGTGGTTCAGAATATGTTTAAGGGTCATTGCTTTGCCTGCGGAGATTATGGGCATTCAACCAACCAATGTCCTGGATTAGCTCAGAGACAGTAGAATAGGGGACCACAGACAGGACAGGGTTAGCCACAGGCTAATCAATATAGAAGACAATTTAGTATTTTCAAGGGTAGTTGCTATACTTGTAGAGAGCTGTGACACACTTCTAGGCAGTGTCTTAAACGAGAAGATGCCGGAGCATCCAAAAAGGAGGGTACCGGAGCTCAAGGATGAATGTTCTTTTAAGAGTGATACATATTCCTAATAGCAGTGGACGTATTATTAGAAGAATAGTACTGTTTAAATTACGTACACTAGTATTTGATTATCTTTAAAGAATATATAATGATTATTCTTTTAAAAATTTATGGTTTAAAGAAGTTCTTAATAAAGTGAACTGGTGGTTTTGGTATCTCTGTTTTGTTTCATGAGAGCATTTTTTTGTGATATTTGCATAAATGGTTTTATTAAACCATATTGGAAGTGCATGTTGTGATAATAAAGGAGTATCAAATGGAGTGATTGGTATTTGGGTAGGCAAATAAAATTCTTGTTTATAACTGCGTTGTGTTGAGACTGGACGATTACCGATGAGTTTATAAAAGGAACTTGTGGGAATCAATTCTGTAAGTTTGATTTCAATGGAAGGGTTCCCAAGAAAAAGCGATATAGTAAATGTGGGTAGATTTCATAGTATTTTGTATGCTATATGTGTTTTGCTCTACGAAGTATTAAGAAATTTTATTTTATAGTTTAGTTGGTAACACAAGTATGTGATTGACTATATAGTATTACTACATCTATAGGTGATACTGCTATTTTACATGAGAGTGATGGGTCTGTGACACTAGATATTGGTAGACTTAGATTTCTAACTAATCTATTGGTCTTGGACATGCATTCTTATGATGTGATACTCGGGATAGATTGATTATCTCACTACCATGCCCAAGTTAATTGTTATAATAGGTCAATTATATTCACTATACCTGGTCAGGATATGCACGTCGTCGGTATGCCACGTTCTAACGGGGTTTCTAGAATGTATTTATTTTACATTAAGGAGGAGATCAATGAGGAGGTTACTGTGTCACTGGATAACATACCAATTGTACAGGAATTCCCGGATGTGTTTCAAAAGATTCTAGGGTTGCCACCGAGTTAAGAGATAGACTTTTTTATTGACTTAGCTTCAGGCATTACGCCTATTGTTAGGGCACCATACAGGATGACACCAGTGGAGATGTGAGAGCTGAGAGATCAGATTCAGCAATTACTCAATCAGGGTTTTATTCGTATGAGTATTTCACCCTGGAGAGCACCAGTTTTGTTTGTAAAGATGAAGGATGGTTCACTTTGCTTGTGTACAGATTATAGGGAGTTGAACAAGATTACTATTCGTAACAAGTATCATTTACTGAGGATTGAT